CTGGTCCTCCTCGGCAACAGCACTGCCACACACAGCCTACACTCCTGCATCCCTGGTCCTCCTCGGCAACAGCACTGCCACACACAGCCTACACTCCTGCATCCCTGGTCCTCCTCGGCAACAGCACTGCCACACACAGCCTACGCTCCTGCATTTCTGGTCCTCCTCCAAACTGTTGCTGTTTGTCTAGGTTTGGCCCAGACCAAGCATGGCACACAGATTAGATAGTGTTCATTTCTTACCACATGTCAAGGCAGGTGGAATATTCTGTAGAGCCCAGGAGAACATCTGGAGGTCTGTACCACAAGGTAACCACTTCATTGGAATACGTGTGGCTAGGGACGGATTTGGCTCTTGCAAGACCTGTAGGTTACAGGAAACATAAAGAGGTTAGATGGGCATGAAAAGAACATGTGTTTTAAATTGAAATGTTCCAGTTTAAAAGGTTAAACAACACTGCTGTAATTCAGATTCATGAATGTAATGTCAACATTATCACAAAGTTTGAGGGGAATATATGCAGTTTTTTATGTTTTTATCACGTTAATAACCATGAAATAATGCATATTGAAGATAAAGCATCTGTGCTAGGGCTCCAATCAAATATCACTAGGCAAAATCAGAACAACCTCAGAATCTCCTGGCTACTTCATCTGTTCGCAGAACTCTAGTTCTGAGAGTTCCAAATATGTAAGTCGTATCAGTAAGATTTCTTTGCTCAAATAACTTGCAAAAAAAGATATATTAAGAAACCCAAAGTCTCCCAGCTATACAAAGGACCAGTGTTACCAATGTTTAAATGTGTATTGAATCTGTAATAAGAAACTGCAATACTTTTCTCAAAGAGTTGCCCAAAAAGTTTTTACGGTGTGAGTATTTTCCCAAGACTCACAAGTGGACACACACTCAGGAGGATTACCTGAAAACCAATGAGCTACACAATTATAAAGCAATGATCAAATTGGAATACATAGGTGATGAAAGTTGATATCAAACCACAATGGGAAAAAGTGGCAATATTACTTTAAAGGCAATTTGACCTAATAACCAAAAATATTCACTCATAGGCACAAGGCTGCAAAACAAAACAAAACAAAACATGTATTCATGTATGTCCTCCATGGTTTTACCTCTGGAATATGTGATTATCCATTTTTAGAAAGATTTGTTTTACTCTGAATTTGATGTGTATGGTTGTATATGCACATAAGTATGGGAGCACACAGAGGCCAGAAGAGGGTGTCAGAGCTCCTGGGGCAGGACTTCCAAGAGTCTGTGAGCTGCCTGGTGTAGTTACTGGAAGCGAATGATGGTCCTTTGCAAAGCAGTAGGGTAGAACATGCTCTTACCTGCTGAGCCATTTCTCTGGTCCTGCTCCTTTCATAACTTAGTAAGGTTTTTTGAGTGTTTTCCCCTAGGTTGTATGTAATGACCAGTTCTTTTTAAAAATAATGTTTATTTGCAATGCTAAGGATTGGACACACTCCCCTATATGTTAAGGAGGCATACTACCAACAAGCCATGTCCCCAGCCTAATTTCCTTTACAAAAAGATTCGCTTTTACTTTGTGTGTGTACATGTACACATAAGTACATACATGCACATACTATGTGGACACGCAAGTGGGTGCCTGTGGAGGCCAGAAGAGGGCACTGAATTCCCTGGAGTGGAATTGCAAGCAGTTGTGAGCTGCTTGACTTGGGTGCAGAGATCTTAACTCAGGCCTTCTGCAGGAGCAGTAAGCATTCTAAACCACTGAGTCATCTGCTCCGCCCTTCTACTTCCTTTAAAGGTCATACATCTCACAACATTGTTTCTGAAAGTCAAACAAGTCATAGTAGATCACTATCTGGCCATACCATTAATGATCAGTGCAATATTTTAGATCTGAATGTCCCCTCATGGTCCATTTGTTAAAGAAGAGTTCAGTGGCCCACAGTGGTACTGGGAGTCCAGGAGACGAGGCCTAGTGGGAGGAAGTTGGTTCACTGGGTCATGAAAGGGACGTCAGGGTGACAGCCTTTCTCCCTTAGCTCCTACAAAGTGAGCAGCTTCGTTCCACATGGGCTTTTCCCTGTGTTATTCTGCCTCACCATAGATCCAAATACAACAGGGCCAGCCCATTCCTGGCTGAAACTTCTGAGACGATGAGAAAACAAACACCATCCCTTCATTTAAACTGAACACCCCTGGCACTATTTCACAGCTATGGACAAATCAACACCACACAGTATAAGGGATTGCTTATTGGTATTATACTTGAAATATACTACAAAGTTTTTGCTGTGAACCTCTTTTAAACATGCTCATTTCAATGATATATTAAAATTATCAGAGATGTTTAGGAACATCACTTCTTCCTGTTTTTTAACCATAGCTGTTAATTTTCTGGGTTGTTTCTGTTGTTAACTTATAATTAATAGGGTAGCTGGCATGACAAAAAGTTGATAATTAATTCAACTATTATTATTATTATAATCCATTGTTCTACAGTGTAGTTTTTACAATAAGGTGATGGCATAAGGAATTGGCTAATGTTTTTTAAATATTTATTTATTTATTATGTATACAATATTCTGTCTGTGTGTATGTCTGCAGGTCAGAAGAAGGCACCAGGACCTCATTACAGATGGTTGTGAGCCACCATGTGGTTGCCGGGAATTGAACTCAGGACCTTTGGAAGAGCAGGCAATGCTCTTAACCACTGAGCCATCTCTCCAGCCCTTGGCTAATGTTCTTATATATCCCATACAAAAATGTACAGCTGTAAGAAATATACAAAAATATTAACTTACTACACCTAATATCTTGGACATAAATAGAGCTATGTCCAAGCACAGGTTTCATGTAGCACGTTCTCTACTTTAAAAAGTTTAATCCTACCTCAAATCAGACAAAACTGTACTATTAATATGACAGTAAGGCTGGGAAAGTGTCTGCAGGGATCGGCAATCCCTTCAAACGACAACATTTCCACATAGAAACCAAAGAGCTAAGGACAGGTCTGAAAATAGGTTCTGACGCATCCCATATGTGGCTGTCAAGTCAAATGGGATGCCAGACCATCCAAGCTGGAGCTTCTTGCTTTTCCTGAGGCCTTATTGTCAGACAGCTCAAACAGAAGCAAACGGAAAAAGGTGAGATTGTCTTTGACAGTTCGTACAATCAGGCTGGTTATTAAACAGAAAGTGACAGTCTAAGATGAGAAAAAAATATGAAAACTTCAGAATTCCCTAAATACAACGAAAGCCAAGCTACTACATGTGATTACAGACCAAAAGTGAGTTGTTAAATTGATTAAGGATTTTTAGAAAATGCAATTAAAAGTTCCTAGTCCACATTATTTTCTCCTGTCTGACAAACTTAGGTCAAGGGGAGCCACAACTCCATTTAGTTGGGCTGCAATGTTCCCAAAAGAGCAATAAGGATGAGTTTTCCAAGTTACAAAAAAGGGCTTTTTTAGAGTGTTTGCACATAGAGATGTCGTATAGAAAACAATGAGCCTTAATTCAGACGAGTGCTTTCGTCTCTCTAGAGTAAGTTTTCTTGTCACCTCACCTGGGGTGATATAGTCAGTTGGAAGCTGTTAGTTTTGAAGGTGTACACACATCAATGAACAAAAGGTACTTACTCTAAGGATATTCACAATCATTTCATAAGAAAAATGAAGCCTATGGTTTCTCAGGGAAGACCAAATTACTTCAACAATGGCTCACTTTTGTTTTACAAGAATACCCTGAAATATGATTTTCTAGTGCATTTCCCAATCTTTTTGGTAAAGACAACACCATATTTTTGTAAAGTTCACAAATCAAAACCTGCTTACTCATGCAAAATTTATTAAAGTGCATCTTCCAGCTGAAGGAAAACTGTAGGGCAGGATTAATTAGCACAGCATGTCTGAAAGCTTTCTCTCTCTGGTCCCTGTCAGTTGCTATGGTTACACTACAGGAAGAGAGCTACACCACCTTTAAAAAAACCCACAAAGTTCACGGGTGATTATCAAAACTTCGTATATTAATGATTAGTCTGAACTGAAAGTCTAAAAGGAAAGCAAGATGCAGACCAGATGAGGGCAGCTTGTCTGCAGTGTGACACAGCTGAACTGGGGCCGTCAGCTCCCCTGGGCTCCCATAAGGGCTCTCATAACCAACGGATGGACGTAGTCTTAGCGTTGCCACTTCTAAGCAGGGCAGACCTGAGAGGAAAGGGGATGTCCTGCTATTAAGAACACTGCTACAGTTCAGGGTGGGGCTACCACCATTCCTGAATAGAATCTTCGACTTCAGACGTAAAGAGGTTTTGTAGCTAACAATTTTCCAATGAAAGAATTCCTTTCCCCTGTCTACAACAGAGGCAACTCACAGGTGATATCTGCTGCCACCAGGAGTTTGCTCCTGTCCTCTAGCAAGGACAAAGAAGAAATCTCAGGACTGTGTTCTCTGCATTTTTCAAGACAAAAGAGACCCCCACCACCAAACAATAGACATTCCCCTCTTATCTTAATTGTTCTCCCTAGGGAGTTACACCCCGCAGATTGCTTTCTTTATTTAAAATTTCTGCCTTTACTTGTCTCTTACAGAATAGTTAGCCAGGAATGACAAGATGTCCCTCTGGGACCTTATCATATTTGTCTCCTACTGGTTTTGAATAGGTTATACATTTAAAGCAGTATCCTCTAGTTTGGAAATTCATGTATTGAACACCGGGTGTGTAATGCAATGCTTAGAGGCAAGGCTTTTAGGAAGAGGTTGGTTCCTGAGAGCTTTGACCTAGTAATGGATTAATTCAAGAACACCTCTGGGCAAGTGGCATTAGACAGTGTAAGAAAGTAGCCTGAGCAAGTCATGGGGACCGAGCCAATAAGCAGTGTCACGGTTGGCTGTGGGTCCCAACTCCAGGTCCCGGACTGCTTGGCTTCTTGCCTGGGCTTCCTGCAGTGACAGACTGTTCCCTGGAGCGGTATGATGCAATAAACCCTTTGCTCCTGCAGTTAGTTTGCTCGAGGTATTTTACTACGGCTACAGAAAGCAAACGAAGACACTTTCCAAAGAAAACAGAAAATGCTCATATCATTGAGCTTTATATAGAGGACTGATAATTTCTTACATGCTTCTCTGAGAGATATTAATTGAAATGAAATGAATAGATGCAGTAAGGCTACTTAGAATGATTGGGCTAAATACCATTTGACAAGCTCATTGTTGTGGATGAGTCTGTGTATTAAGTGAAGCTTCTGTGGACATGGCAAAGCAAACTGCCTGATGTTGGTTCCAGATTACCCAGGTAGTTATATTTGCTCAGGTTCCTAGGGCTCTCTAGCCTTTGCTTTTGTTTGTTTGTTTTTTATGTTTTTAAATGAG